CCTGGGTGTAGCCTTCTGGGATGAACTCCCTGCCCTCCCTCAGTCTCCCCATTTGGGCTGTCTCACTGAAGGAGTGAGGTGCTGCTGAGGTTGTGATGTGAGTTCTTTCAAGTTCACCTTTGAAACAAGGACAAGAAGTTAGGCTCCAGCTGGCTGAGCTCTGCAGCTCTCTGAGACTGGCTGCTGCCATCAAAAGAATAGAGCCGTCATTCTGCAGGAGGGCTTGCATGATAATTGGGTTTTTGCCTCTCAGGAATTGGAAAGGTGCTAATCTAGTGACTCATGAGCTACAGATATCTCCCCCCACCCCAAATGAAGCTGCATGTTTTCTGAGTGCCTCATCTTCTTATTTCACTGGAGAGGGCAGGCTGGGGCTTAGCTGTAGAGGCAAAGCCCCGGTTGTCCTGACAACCCTGCTGGAGTGACCCTATACCCCTGCCTCCCCTCTAAACAGCCCATTGCAAACCCAGCCCCTGCCCAGGCTCCTGGGAAGGGGAGCTGGCATGTGAATGAGTTTGCAATGGAGACAGTCATTTCCAAATTAGTGTTAGAACTTCCTAAGGTTGGGTGAGTGTGCAGGTGTGAGTGCACATGTGTGTGTATGGGCATTCGAGTTTAGGTGTGAGGGCTCATGTGGGTTGGCTGACAAGGTGGGCTGCAGCAGCATGTAAGCAGCGTGCATTTGCACTTGCATGCGCCCGGATGAGCCCTGCCTGGATGCTGCAGTTATTCTTCTGGCTTGGGTTCTGATTACTTTTGCTTTCTCCATCCAAGGTATATCTTTTCAACTTTTAGGGACCAGAGCTGAATCTTGAGACCTAGCCTTTGTGTCTGGGTACCTGGGGCAGAGGGCTGAGCTGGGTCTTGCTAATGAAGAGGAGGTGGAGTTTCAGTTGGGGCCCCTTTGGATGCAACCCCTTTATCAACCCCTGAAGAGGCAGAAAGCTGGACTCTGACCCTGCTGGGAGGCCACCTGGGACTGCTCAATACCTGGACGCCCTCCAAACCCACCCTTGCAGCCCCTCTGCCACCCTGCTACACTCCCTTTGCTTGGGTACATCCCTTCCTACTCCTGCCTCCTGTCCTCTTCTCATGGTATCCTGCCCCCTATGCAGCCCCCAAACTTGGTGTACCCCAGGACGTCTGGAGCCCAGGAAGGGAGAGGTTTCTTTCAGCAAAGATTCCCCCTGTCTTCCTCCCCAGCTGCTCCCAGCCTGAGTCACCCTTGAGGCTCTCCTCTCCTCCCTCCCACTCCTTTCATTAACTTCACTGAAGCTAATAATCCTGCTGGCAATTCCATTGTCTCCTCTTAATTCCAATTTCCTTTTGTCTCAAGAGGCAAATCAGCAGAGTGAAACGGTGAAGAGGTAGGCACAGCCTCCCATGTATTAATTAGGGGAACATTAAGAAGCGATATAAACACACCTCCGGCATTGGGGTGCTGCTCCTGCCTCCCTCTCCCTTTACTTCTTCCCCTCCTAAGCTCCAGCCAGATCTGGAAGAATGTCCCAGGTTAGAACCTGCCCGTTGTCATGCCTGCACGCACTCCTTCACTCCCTCATCACATCGGTCACAGAGTCACAAAGACTTACCTCCCGAATGTGCCTCAAACAGAACTCCTCTCCCCACGGCCACTCTTCAGTCCACTGCCCGCTCATACCTGATGGCGACGCCTCGAACTGGGCTCCCTGCCTCCAGCCTTGCCCCTGTCAAGTCCTTTTGTAACCAGACAACCAAGGGGTCCGGGCTGCCTGGCACTTGAGCCAATTAAGCAGTGACAGGGTTGAATCATATATGAGCGTTTATTCCAATCCTGCCGGCAGCATGGAGAGCAGCAAGTCATCCACAAAAATCTGTTCTGCACCCCACCACAAACCAGCTGCTTATATTGGGTAGGGGGACAAAGATTACATGGGGAAGTAGGCGAAAGGTAATGGGGGCTGGAGATTTGCAAAGGCCTGCAGTTATGCAAAGGCTGGGGTCTTCAAAGGGCCAGTGATATGAAAAGGGCTGGATTCTTCAAAGAGCTAGTGATATGCAAAGAGCTGGGGATATTCAAAGGGCTAGTGATATTCAAAGAGCTGGGTGTCTTCAAAGGGCTGGCAGCTCTGGTTTCTGCAACCAGGTTGTTAATCTTTCCATGATAATAGGCAGCTCCCTGATGGGGAGGATGGGCTGCATTTCCTGGTGAGCTCCCAGGTCCCGATTAGAATGTGCCTTCTTTAATCAGAATAAAACCATCACAGCTAATAGAGCATGATTGATATTTCTTATAATTATAGCTGGTCCCCAATATTCTATTTCTGCTCCTATCCATTTCTATCATCTCATATGTATGAGATTAGTTTCAGGTGAAAAATCTCATCCTGCTGGCCTGTATTTGCTTCTGCCTTGAAAGCAGTTCCCAGGGATGGAATACAGCGAATGCAGGATCTAAAAAGAGGAAGACATTGAATACAGCAGCAAACAACCAGACTACAAAAATAAACAGGAGAAAAATTAAAAAGAACTTCTGCAACCCAGACAGGTTGGGTAGCCAGGAAGTTAGGTTGGATAACTTCCTGGCTGCCCAACACCCCTCCCCCCCCAAACAAACGAACACACAAAAAGTACACCTTCTCATTGTTTGTTGTTTTACCTTGGAGATGGCTTCCCTAATTTGCTGAACGTTGTTTTCTATCAATTGAGAATTTTCAGAAAGATTAAAACAGCACATTCCTTTAAATTCCTCACAACCGTGGTTATGCAGCAACAGCAATAATCTATTGCTGCCCGATTCTCTAGAACTGCCTCCCTGACCTGGCTCAGCTCTTGATTTATCCCCTGTATTGCCCTGGAAGGGGCATTCAGGGCTTTTACCTGCTACAAGCCAGCTGGGTCACTTCTACATTAAGGGGGCCTACCACTGCTGGCATAACAAAAACGGTTGAAGCAATGTAGTCAGCAGGGCTCCGCAGGCGGAGAGCATCGCTGCAGTCCGGTGCCATGGCCGTGAGAAGGTCTCTTTTGGTTTGAACCCTGTGATGTTTCTGGGCATAAATACTGTCAGTCGTCCTAAGGAACAAGGCCCCCAGGTGCTGTTGGCAGGGATATATGGATAAACAGTTATCCTACATATCAGAAGTCAACCAGCCAGCAGCTCAGTATGTCATTACCATTAGGGAGGGTGAAATTATCAGAACAATGCATATTGTAGTTATTAGATACTGAAAGACAATAACTAGAACACTCAGTGATAGTCATTCGCCACAGGAAGCCACTGCAGCAACCTTTAGAGAAAACATCCCTGCATCCCTTTCCCAGACAGTGGATCCCAACGTATAAAGGTCCTCATCTGTGACTTTCTTCCCAAATGAATAGATGAATTCTATATATTAGCAATAGGTGTCCCAACTTCTCCGAGGCAAAGTGTAAAGTTCCGTCTGCATAGGTTCCTCCATTGCCAGCTTCAGAGCAGTTGGAATAGTGAGATATACATCTCAGGGTCCTGTCCATTTCTCCTTTGGTTGGCGCATGGTTCTTGCTCTGCTTAGGTCTGTCTGACTGCCTACAATATCTCTCCTCAAGGATCTTGGCTCTGAAATCTTTCATGGAAAAGGGGCATAGGGTCTTTTCTGAAGCTACTTCATGCTGAGGGGGGACAGAAGTTTTCTTTCAGAGTCAAGAGATCCTTGCTCTCTGTCAGAGGGACAATGAGGCCTGGGCACAGAAAGAGTTGGCAATGGTGTCTAGAATAGGGCTTTTAACCTGGTGGAGACACTGTGTTATAACATTTAGTATTATTGGGCAAAAGTTAGAACAGTAAGAATTATGACCAATAGTCTGGTGGAAGGAAAAAAACATTTCAGTTCTATTCAGAGTCAAGAGATCCTTGCTCTCTGTCAGAGGGACAATGAGGCCTGGGCACAGAAAGAGTTGGCAATGGTGTCTAGAATAGGGCTTTTAACCTGGTGGAGACACTGTGTTATAACATTTAGTATTATTGGGCAAAAGTTAGAACAGTAAGAATTATGACCAATAGTCTGGTGGAAGGAAAAAAACATTTCAGTTCTAATAATTTCCCTATTAACCCCCCCCCCCCCCTAAAATCACCCTCATTTTTATTAAGGAGCCAAATTCAGGCCAATTTATTAACTGTGTTAAGTCTAGTTGTAATTTGGCCAGATTGTTTGCATGAACACAGTAAGAATAACAGTTGACGTGAAGGAACCTCAAATGCAAATTAATAAGTGAAATAAACCAATGAGACAAGGCTACATATGGTATGATTTCAACTATATAACATCCTGGAAGGCAAGACTATAGAGACAGTAAGATTAAGAGTCAGGGATGGGGAGGGATGAAGAGGTGGATCACAGAGGATTTTTAGGACAGTGAAATACTCTGTATACTATAATGTTGGATACATATCATTATACATTTGTCCAAATTCAGAAGGTGCAACATTCAGAGTGAACCCTAATGTGAACTGTGACTTCAGGTGATTATGATGTATTGGTATTGGGTTATCAATGGTAGCTCATGGACCATTCTGGTGAAAGATGTTGATAAGGGGAGAGAGAAGCTATGCATGTGTGGGTCGGGGGCATATGGAAAATCTCTGTAAATGTCTCTGTTTTGTTGTGAACCTAAAACTGCTTTAAAAGGTAAAGTCTTTTTAAAAATATATATTTTTATTGATTTCAGAGAGTGCCAGAAGCTGTTCCATCCTTGCTGCTTGACACAGTCGCTGCAGGGAAGAAACATCTGCACAGCATATGTTCCAAGGGACCTGGCGTATATGGCATACTGTTCTTAATATGTTTGCTCCCCTTCTTAGCGCTATGCGTTCTAGCCAGGGCCACATCCCTGAGAAAGGTTGTTTCCCCAGGTGGGAATGTTTCCCTGGAGTTAGGGATTAACGGGACTAGGGAAGGGAATAAATCAGTAAAACCCCCTAGTGTTACAGAAATATCGTGTACTACTTATGAGGAACTTAGACTAAGACTGTTAGCAATAAATTTAGGACTTGCTAGACCCACAGCCCCAGGGGTCTACCCACCAGAGAAAGTAACAAAGCCTATGCCCCTAAAAACCCGCCGACGCAGGGCAGTCCCAAGGAAGACCACCAGCAAGGCTAAAAGGACAAATACCAAACAGTTAAAGAAATACTGCTGCAAACAATGCAGGCAGGCTCCTTATCTAAAAATCTTATTCGAGTCATGTGAACAGAAAGACTTAAACTAAGTGCCAGGCAGGTAGTTAATCACCATAACTACGAACAATCACGCTTAAGCTACATAACCTTTACTTAGGCCATAGAATAGGAAAATCTCCTTCAGTTATTTCCTTATAGCTTAACAGTAGAGCAGTAGAATAGTGACCTTGGAATAAAAATAACAAACTAGCCCTTATAATGAAACACAGAGACTAACCTTTAGAATAGAATGTAGAAACATAGACAATAGATAAGATAAAAATCAACAGAGCTAGATAGAGATAAGATTTTGTTATGGGTTAGCTCAGTGAGATAGACCACCGACTCAAAATTTAAATTTAAGAGCCTTTATGAAGCCGGCCAGCTGACCACAGCCAGCACCCTCCCCCTCTGGGAAGGTTTGCAGCATGTGGCAGAGAGCAAGGGTGCAGTATGTTCCTTTACAGCAAAACAGTGTTAAAAAAATACAAAGCATTTCATTAGCTGTTCCTTAGAAGTTCACAGAAAGTTCATAAGCACAAAGGGGAGGTAAACAGAGTCACACCTGGCTGGAGCATATCATAACACATTGTTTTTCTAAGACAATCTAGCAATTTTTCTCTGCCACGGTTCCTGACCCTGACACAATCGGTAACCTTTTCCAGGCCGCAGTCCCTCCCCCCAACACATTCAGTAAGTTTCTCATGTTTCATTTCCTCCCCCTAGCACAATTTTTAGCAAAGGTCAGATAAGAAAACAAGGAACTGTAAAAGGTCAAAGGAGGACCCAAAACATACCATGAAGTAACTATAGAGGCATGCTTACAGAATCAAATAGTATAAATACAGCTGTAACAGGACAATAAAAAACAACAACACCTGACTATGCTATCAACTGAACGCTGTCTCCGTGTCCTTCATTCTTCGCTGACACCGTCCACACCTTTGGGAACCCCTGGACCCCTGGGGCTGGACCTTGGCAAGAGAGAAAAGAAGAGGAAGAGAGAGATAGAAACATCAATGATGAGAGGAAATCATTGATTGGCTGTCTCTTGCAAGTTGGACCGATCCAGCAACCCAGGCATGTGCCCTTGACTAGAATTGAACCTGGGACCCTTTAGTCCCCAGGCCAACACTCTATCCACTGGGCCAAACCATCTAGGGCTAAAGTCATTTTTTTTTAAGTTTTAGCCACTCCTCCTATTGGGAGGAGCCTGCATCTCCTCCCCTGAACCTGAGTGTGATTGTGACTGCTTTGGTCTCTAGAGTAACAGTGGTGGTGATGCTCTGAGGCTTCCGAGGCTCGCCATAAAAGAAAGGGCCGGCAGCTGCTTTGTTCTCCTGGAACAGTTACCCCCTGGATATTTCCTCTGGGGGTACTCCTCCTTGTAACCCAGGTAATATGCTGTAGGAAGCCCAAGCCAGACAGGGAAGCCCCATGTAGACCTGGAAGTCCCAGCTGAGCCCAGCCTTGCAGTCATCACAGCACCGCTACCAGACACAAGAGTGAAGCAGCCTCCAGGGGATTCAGCCCCTGCTATTCATGTCAACCCCAGCTGTTTGAGTTTCTCAGATAAGGGCCCAAATATCACAGTTCAGACAGAATCCATCCCTGCTGTTCCCTGTCCAAATTCCTGGCCCACAGATTCTCTGAGAATAATAATATAACTTTTGTTTATGCCACTTAGTTTGGAGTGGTTGGTTACACAGCAGCAAATAACTGGCGCATCACAACAGGTCAGAAGGTATAGAAACTTGCTTTCTCTGAAACTAAAGTTTCCCATCATTTGCAGGCAAGGTATGGGCTGCTGGGGAGTAGGCACGATTGGTCTATGGCAGTGGTCGGCAAACTGCGGCTCTTTGGCCCCTTGAGTGTGGCTCTTCCACAAAATACCACGTGCGGGCGCACACGTACAGTGCAATTGAAACTTCGTGGCCCGTGCGCAGAAGTCGGTTTTCGGCGTGGGCGAGTCTATTTTGAAGAAGTGGCGTTAGAAGAAGTGGGGGGAGTCAGTTGGTTGGGCGACAGGAGACACAGTGCAGGCAGGCTGCACGATACACAGCGTGGGGAGGTACATTGTTTTGAGGTACATTCACTGAGGTCGACCCCTTCCAACTCTCCCATCCACACTCGTCTATCTGAAACAAGTATACAA